AGAGCCGCATGGATGGTGCGAGCCTGATGGAGCGATTGTTTACAAGTGTGGAGTCCCGTGAAGGAGCACCAGATGGAGAGTTTTGTTTTGTGTTTACCTCATAGTTAAAGTTGCTGCACGTCCGCCGGTTCCTGCCTCAACATGAGCGAGTTTGAGTCACTTGTACATCCCGGAAGAGTTCAGGACAAACAAAACAGCAGAGCAGAAACTCGACACAGAGAAACATTTACACCTCACTGCCCACTAGTGTTTCAGAAGTGTTAATGCAGACCAACAGAGACAGCAGCAGAAGTATAAATGCACAGCTACACGCGTTGCATGTGCCGTGGGTCACACCAATCACCTGACACAGAAGTATAAACCAGGCTTAAGCCAAAAAGAAAAGCAATGAACAAATGAAAGCATTATGGCACTGATCATTAAATATTTGGCATTGCAGAATGATCAGGGCGTCCGCGGGGTCTTAAGAAGGAATCAAAATTGATGAGTCAATTCAGAGAAGAGTATTAAAACTTCTTGTTAATTTACAAGGTGTTGAGTGTTGCATCAGCAGACTAACGTTTGCCTGAGTTTGATCTCTGAGTATTGTGATGCTGTGTAGTTTGACATGTCGCTGCTTTCATTCCTGCAGTCATCCGGGAAACACCATTATTCCTGCTGGTGTAAGTTCATCACCTGCTGCATTAATGTTGTTATTCAGTAAATATAAACAGTTTTAGTTCAGGATTGGTTTCTTGCTGTCTGCAGGGGTACTGGATGAAACTAAGTGGTGATGAGGTCTTGAACTGTGTGCAGAGTCTTCAAAAAGGTCTTGAGTTTCAGTCTCTGATGGCTGTATTTACAGTGTACAGTTAGCACAATCTTCACTGCTCTCTCTCTGATGTCGCTCTCTGTTCTGCGGTCATTAGTGCACGTCTACAGTCTTTGCTTGCTTCTTTTGGACCCGTGTATGCTGGAGGCCATGTTGTGCCTTCATTTTCCTTCAGCTTAGTCCCTTTATTAATCAGGGGTCGCCACAGTGGAATGAACCGCCAACTATTCCAGCATATGTTTTACACACCCGATGCCCTTCATGCTGCAACCCAGCACTGGGAAACACCCACACACACACACTCATACACTACGGCCACTTTAGTTGATCAGTTCTCTGTGGGGGAAACCGGAGCACCCGGAGGAAACCCACACCAACACGGGGAGAACATGCAAACTCCACGTGTCTTGATTATTCAAACAAACACGTGTAGCTTCAGACCAGAGTTAGACACAATGTAATTAAAACATGAAAGATATTTTTGATTGAATAATGAAGAAACCAAGCTGACTCCATATTCCTGCAGGGGCTTGGTGCAGTTTTGAGTGTGCCTCGCACAGGTGTGCGGACTGGACAAACCAGTCTCAGGAGCTGTACATTATGAAGTCGTTTACTTTCACTTGAGAATATTTTCAGTGCTGTATCAGTACTGTACTCCACTGTTTTCCTTCAACCCCTGCTGAAAACAACTGCTTAAACCAGCCTAGGCTGGTTGGCTGGTTTTAGCTGGTCGACCAGGCTGGTTAAAGCTGGATTTTTCAGCAGGGGCCTGCAGTCACAATTTTCTACTTATATTTGATGTGTGTGTGTGTGTGTGTGTGTGTGTGTGTGTGTGTGTGTGTGTGTGTGTGTGTGTGTGTGTGTGTGTGTGTGTGTGTGTGTGTTTGTGTGCGTGCGTGCGTGCGTGCGTGCGTGCGTGTGTGTGTGTGTGCGTGTGTGTGTGTGTGTGCAGACGCCAGCCGTGAGCCTGAACTCCTCCTCATGCAGCGTGAGTGAGTCTGCAGCCGGTGGGCAGGCGTCAGGGCAGAAGCAGCTGGAGAAGCGTCTGCTGGAGATCCCCGTGCCCACTGCTGTACCCCCCACGCTCAGCTTCATGCCCTCGACCGCCAGTCATGAGTTCCTGTACCTGCTGGGGCTGGAGGAGGCGGTGCAGCGGCTGCTGGAGGGGGCGGGGCCAGGTCTGCATTTAATCTGCATACAATCAGTGTTCAGAAGACAAAATGCCTTATTAGTGCACTGAAGAAGAGCTCATTAGATAAATAACACAATTAAAGAAAATCAGTAATATTCAGCTCAGCTTTATTTGTGCAGCGCTTTTACAATGCAGAAGTGTCAAAGCAGCTCAACATACAAGATCATAGTGTGTTCAGTGCAGTGTGGTTTAATCTTCACTGCTGACAGTCCAAGTGCAGAGCTGCAGTGTAGGCGCTGGAGGCTGGAGAGCGCTGGACGTCCATCGTGGAGAAGCTGCAGGTGTGAGAGGTCACCGGCTGGTGTTCAGACTGACCCTTCAGGATCAGTGCAGAGACTCGTCTGTCACTGGGGTCTTTCAGGAATCAGTCTCGCGCTCTCCACTCCTCCATGACCACCACAGCAGCTGCTCAAGATACGGCCTGGTCCAGGATTATGGAGACCTCAGGAATAATAAACACAGACCAACATAAGTGCAGATGTTGTGCACATTATAATGTCTTTAGGGAAGTGTTCCCGGCTCCGCTTGCCCTGAATAACGCAGACTCACAATCCTTTAGAAGGTTTGGATTTCAACAGCATGTGTGTGTGTTTGATGTGTACTAATGTAGCGGAGGCCAGCTAGTGTGTGCTGTGCAAGTAAACTCACTCCTCTGACCTCTAAAGGTGCTCTAGTGACAGCCGCTAGAGGTCATGGTCTTTAGCCGTCTTAGTAGAGCAACTGATTCCCATGCGGAAAGTCGCCGGTTCGATACCAGCTCGGAGCGGGTTGGGTGGTGTAAGACCGGTGGGGTTACATTGGTGCCGTGACCCGGATGGGAGTGAGGTTTAGGGGGGTGGGTGTAACGGAGGTCAGCTAGTGTGTGCTGTACAGGTAAACCTCACTGCTCTGACCTCTGAAGGAGCTCTAGTAACAGACGCTAGAGGTCATGGCCTTTAGCCTCCTTGTTAGAGCAACCAACTCCCATGCGGAAGGTCGCCGGTTCGATTCCTGCTCGGAGCGGGTTGGGTGGTGTAGGACTGGTAGGGTTGTCGCGCACAAATTTCAAAATAAAAGTCTAGTATAAGCAAAATAAGTAAAAAATGTAACTTTTGTTGTTTTTTTTGACCACACACTCCGCAACCCACTGAAAATGTTCCACCAGTTGAGAAACACTGCTGTAGTGTATTTAGTGATTGGCCAGCAGGCACACCACGCCGTAAGACATTAATATTAGGTTAGATTTAGGATGTGATGTCAGGTGACCAAAATTCAACGTCTAGCCGGTGTCTAAGGACAACGTTATTTTGCTGTCCAGTAATGACGTCAAATGACGTTGATATTTGGTTGATTTTAGGTTGGATGTTGGACATTGATGTCGGCCTGATGTTGAATTCTGACGTCAACCTGATTTTCATTTCCAAACATAATGCAGCGTCCCACAACGTTAGGGTACAATGTCAGTCTGACGGCATGTCTTGTGCTGCTGGGTGTTTAAGGATATTCGGTCATCATCCGTCATCTTCATCAGTGACATCATCTGAACAGTCTCTGGGTCAGTGTGTGTAAAGATGTTGGACTTCTTCTTGGACACTTTTAATGCTTCCAAACAGTTTTCTGCAATAATAAAGCGCACACGTCTTCAGGGAGTTCATTATGAGGCGATTTACCTTTGATTGGACTGAAATGTCGACTGATTTTTCTAATCCCCGTAGACGAGAGTAAATACAGCAGTGAGAGCAGACTGAGGGACAGTAGTGGAGTAACAGCGCTGATACTGCAGTAAACATGAGCTCAAGGAGAGTAAAAGCACACATTATCAAAACTACTCAGTAAAGTACAATTGCTGAGAAACACTGCTCAGTTACAGTACTCTGAGTGTTGGTGATCTGTTAGTTTACACCGCTGGTTATTAGTCATCCAGTTTTAATATCAGCTACACAATCTGATCAGGTTATCAGCTTCAATAAAACAGAGCTGTCTCTTTATACAGAGCTTCACACAGTGTGGATGTTGCAGTGAAGCTTCAGTTTGAAACATTGAGCTGTAAATGAATCCTGATTGTGATCAGCTCTACTGTAGATTTAGATTGTTGTTGTTGGTATTAAACTAAATTATTGAATGTCAATCATCCACTGTTAAATCAGTGTTCATAATAATAATCAATAAATAACTGAATAATAAGAGAGAATGTCATTCATAAACACTGATGATGATGATGATGATGATGATGATGAGGAGGATGTGGATGATGATGATGATGAGGATAATGATGATGATGATGATGACGATGATGATGATGATGATGATGATGAGGATGATGATGATGATGAGGAGGATGTGGATGATGATGATGATGAGGATAATGATGATGATGATGATGACGATGATGATGATGATGATGATGATGAGGATGATGATGATGATGAGGAGGATGTGGATGATGATGATGATGAGGATAATGATGATGATGATGATGACGATGATGATGATGATGATGAGGATGATGATGATGAGGATGATGATGAGGATAATGATGATGATGATGATGACGATGATGATGATGATGATGAGGATGATGATGATGAGGATGATGATGATGATAATGATGATGATGAGGATGATGATGATGATGGTGATGATGATGAGGATGATGATGAGGATGATGATGATGATGATGTTTTATCTTATTATTCAGATTGTAATGATCATATGGTCATTAGGAGTTCCTGTTCTAATGTTAAATGATTAATTGTGAAGGAAAGCGTCAATATTATCTTCATATTCTTGTCATTAATATAGTGATGATTCATATTGACTTTGAACCTGTTTATTATTTATATATTAATATTTTAGACACACAGTTAAAGTTAGAATTATTCGCCCCCTTTGAGTTTATTTGTTTTAAATATTCCCCAGATGATGTTGAGCAGATTGAGGAAATGTTCACAGTGTGTCTGATAATGTTTGTTCTTCTGGTGAAAGTCTTATTTGTTTTATTTGGGCTAGAATAAAAGCAGTTTTTCAATGTTTAAACAGCATTTTATGCTCAATATTATTCGCCCCTTTAAGCAGTTTATTGTTCTCGATAGTCTCCAGAACAAACCATCATTATACAATAACTTGCCTAATTACCCTAACCTGCCTAGTTACCCTAATTACCCTAGTGAAGCCTTTACATGTCACTTTAAGCTGTATAGAAGTGTCTTGAAGAATATCTAGTCTAATATTATTTACTGTCATCATGATGAAGAGGAAATAAATCAGTTATTAGAGATGAGTTATTAACACTGTTATGATCAGAAATGTGTTGGAGAAATCTGCTCTACAGTAAACAGAAACTGTGGGAAAAATAAACAGCCGGGTGAATAATTCTGACCTCAACTCTATACTCTTATCAGCTCTTTATTATTATTACAGTATTCATGGGTTGCTATTCGTAACGATGTGTTGTTTTCTGTGTGTGTGTGTGTGTGTGTGTGTGTGTGTGTGTGTGTGTGTGTGTGTGTGTGTGTGTGTCAGGTTGTCCTGCAGGTGTGTGTGTGCCGCTCTGCTGTTCTCTCTGTCACACAGACTTCAGCAGCCGCTGGATCAGGGATGATGCGGGTGTGTTGCGCTGCGAGCGGTGTGTGTGTCGCGCACAGAAGCAGCGGCTGAAGGAGGAGCACACACACCGGCTGCAGGCGGTGCTGACCAAGCTGTCCTCATCATCATCCTCATCCTCACCTGCGCAGGTGAAGTGCTCTCCGTCTTCATCCTCCTCCTCGCTCCGCCTCCAGCAGGTGATGAAGACTCTCTCACTCAGTAACACAAACACACAGCACCGCCAACTATTCCAGCATGTTTTACACAGCGGATGGCCTTCCAGCTGCAACCCAGTACTGGGAAACACCCATACACACTCATACGCACTCATACACTAGTGCCAGTGTAGTTGATCAGTTCCCCTATAGCGCATGTGTTTGGACTGTGGGGGAAACCGGAGCACCCGGAGGAAACCCACACCAACACGGGGAGAACATGCAAACTCCACACAGACACACCAACTGACCCAGCCGAGACTCAAACCAGCGACCTTCTTGCTGTGAGGCCACAGTGCTAACCACTGAGCCACAGTGATGCCTCATGATTAGAACAATTGATTAATTAATTAATGTGTGTGCGTGTGTGTGTGTGTGTGTGTGTTTCTGCAGGTGTCTGCTCAGTCCTCTCGGCTGCAGAGCGCAGTAATGGCCGCTGCTCTGGTCAACAGGCCAGGTGAGGGTCAGCAGGGGTCAAAGGTCAAACACACAGACTCTCACACTGTGCATTTATCCTCATCATCAGTGCTTCATCTTATTAATTTACAACAACTCAAAGAGCTTATAAAGGGGAAGAGAACACACAGTCTGCACTGCAGACACACTGTGGAACGTCCCCACTACTCACAATAACAACACCTTCTGTGTGTGTGTGTGTGTGTGTGTGTGTGTGTGTGTGTGTGTGTGTGTGTGTCAGGT